TATTTTAATTATTATATGTCAAAAGCAGCATCATATCATATGAACTTACCTACACATTATTTTAAGTCATCATTGGCATCATTACTTTTTAAAAGAAAATAATAACTAAAGACACACAAGTGACTTTTTCTAGAATGCAAGAAACGTTAATTTATTTATTCAATGATAAAAATCATTTGCATTTAAAATTTTGAATGACATTTAGTTATATATAGCTAAGTTCAACAGTCGGCTGAAAGACCTATAAAAATATGTTAACATCATATGTCAAGAAAGTATGATAGATAAACAGTGTTATAATAGTCTAGAAAATATGAGGAAAGGTAGTTTCTTCAATAAATGATCAGAAATAATATTTCAGGAAACTAACACACAATAATAAAATAATTAATAATTAACTTTGAACTAAAACTGATATTTTTTTTAAAAAAAGAGAATTTTGAAAGTGCTCCATATGTAAATATATGGCTCGGCCTATATTTTAGTATATATAAAATTGAGAACTACTTTATTTATAAGTAATAAATATGTTCTTCGTTTTAATTATAAGATATTTTTTAAATAAAAGTATACATAATTATTAAATAAATTTAATACTTTTAATTTTTATATAAACTTTAAAAGATATTTTTAGTAGTAAAAGAATTTTTTAAAAACATTTTGTATTTTGAGATAACAAATGGCTTTAAAAATATTTTATAAAATAGGATGGAGTAATATTTTTTTTAATAAATTTTATATTATATATAGAAGCTATCATTCATAGAAGCTAATGAAAACCATTAGTTAATTCATAAAAGAACTATATCAACGGTCTGGTTCCTTATTAGCTTCTGGGACAAGAACAGAAATATACAGGGAGTAATAAAACAATCTGCGATCTTCCTTTTGGCTCGAAGCTGATTTTAAAAGATCCCGAGCCTACGCTTCATCATGATGACTGCCATAGCCCTAAACAAGTAAAGAAGAAGAACAAGAATTAATATATAGTTTCTTTGATGAGGCCTTACTTTAATGCGCTCCAGAATTATTCCTAAAGCATTAGGATTGTTATCATTGCTTCCATTCTGATCATCATCATCATCATTGTCAAGAAACTATCTTTTTCACGTCCTATATATGCACACAACGATTCTGTATCAGGTAAATCAGGCATATACATTATTATCATCACCAGAAGAAATAGTATGCTCAAGAGAGGTGGTAACACTATATCAATGATTTCAAACTCTACATTGTTGGTAGGGTGGTGTCTTCCCAGGAGGCGGCTCCGGCGACGGCGAGGCTGCACCGTAAGGCTGGGGAATCGACGGCGGGTTTTCTGCCTCGGATCACGGCCGGTTGTACAGTGGGGGGTCATGGGTCCTATAAGGATGTTGAAGAAGATGATAATGGAGATTGCTCCCAAGGGACAGTTCATTGAGGCATATTATAGGTATCTGCCATTACTGCGTCCCCAGCTCTTTCCTCTTTGTTGATTAAATAGAAGGTTCATTAAGGAGGAAGAAGAAGAAACCCAGAAATGATAATGCTTCTCAGTTTTGATGACATAATATATATATATATTAACCTTCAAAGTTTATTCTTTTGGTTTTGTACTGTCTTCAGCATGTAAAAGTTTGTGGTAGTACTCTTAGAGGAAAAAGGAATGTATTTCTTCTCTTCTAATTTTTCCATGGAGGCTACACTATTAATTTGGACGTGGTAGCTTTCTCTTCCATAAATCTCAGTGCATGTTTGGATACATCAAATAATCAATTTTAAAGGTTATCATATAATCAAATAATAATCTCCAAACCAAATTTGAGTAATTAGTGAACCCATGGCCAAGTGGGAACCTATCATGCGACTTGTGAAAAAGAAAGGACCAGTGTCGGCATTCCCATGGTACAATGTTAGGGAAATAAAGCTGCTAACATATGCTACATGCCTCTTTGATTTTAACATCTCTAATTTTCGTGCCACTCGTTTTCCTCTGTTCCCAATTTTTTTATATTAAAAAATTTAGATGTTGGGTTCGAAGGACTGATCACCTGGGTTAGACTATACTTTCAGTGAATACTTATAAAAATATTTATAGATAATTTATTAATAAAATTTTCACATGGACAATAAAACTTGATATTGCTATCTTGTAAATTATAGATCAAATTCTCATCAAGTAGATTAATATTTGTAAATTTCTCATTGCATCATTGGTGAGCTAGTAAGCATTTTTATTCATCACACACTTTTTAGGTGTCAGCCATGAGCCTGATGAAAAAGAAAAAATGCACATTGTGCTTGAATAGAGTCAAGGGTAGCTGGATCGATCATGATCTAAATTAAAACGTTTGAAGTGTGAGGTTGAATTGTATGGAAGGGACATAAGGCCTGCAATAGTGGCTTTTTTAGTTTTTTGTTTACACGAAGCATCAAGATACACTGCTAACAAAAATCAGTTCAATTGATAAAGACTTGACACATAATTCACAAAATTATAGAACTAAACCCTGCTATTGATGTAACAATCTTGTTAGTAGGTGACTTGTAAGTATCTTTATTAACACTCTTTTGATCACAAGACATGTCTTGATGTTAGTGAGCCCTCAAAATTCAATTCATCTAGATATATATATATATATATATATATTTTAGGAATTTCAGCCAAGTTTGAGAGCATGTAAGAGTGGGGAGTTTGGAATCAATGAATGGTCCCAAGATCTACTACTATCAAAACCTCAAGTCCTTTTGTCTTTGCCTTCCAATTATTGGTGTGGTGATAGGATCACTACTTGATTTTAACCCACCTTTATTAGTTGTTTAATGTGACAGATTCAATTGCCTGAGCTTATTTGGAAAGATATGCATACATCTGATCAAAACTTGTTTATGGAGAAAGCAAGAAACTTATTGTATCTTAGCTGATTAGGATATGACACATATATTTTGCTTGATCCACAATCAAAATTCGTCACTCCATCGTGAATAGAAAGCACTTATACTTTATAAAAAGCTTGATGTGTCGTACTTGCCAATTTAGTCGTGAAGTTACATCTGAAGCTCTTTGAGAGAGAAAGCTAAAAATCACAGTGAAACTTCTGTTTGGTTTCAAAGTTAAATAGTGAGAACAACAGATTCTACGTTCTAACAATCGTGATGCCACATCAAAATCAGATCCTTTTCTTTGATCAAGCTTAATATGTTGGGATAACCTCAAATTTCCAAATAGATCAGCAAATTTTGTTCATAATTTATACTAATACTATATTTTAGCCCTGGACCAAATTTAAAATTTATAAATAATTCTTAATAAAAAGACTATAACAATGAAATTAGGTACCACAATTATAACAATACAGTTATAAATAACTAACTTTTCAGATCCGGTCTATCATGACTTATTGGTTGTAACATCCCACTTTGTGAGGCTTAGTGTTGTAGTCTCCCCTTCTTTATTTTCTAATTATTTGAATATCTGTTCTAGACCTGTATTTACCAAAAGAAAAAAATACTATCTTTTGTATGTTAATTCTCTATTGATGCTGGGTAATATTTGTAAATGTAATACTCAGAAGATATAAATACATAACAACTTATTTATGTCAGAAATATAAACAACATTACAACCTATTCTATTTTATAGTTTAATATTTTATAACATTATTCCAAAAGTTATTTTTGTTTAATTTTTTATATATTAGGTTTTGAAAATATAAATTATTTATTTTATTTTATAGTTTTTCACTTGTACAATTTTAAATATACTCCCTTAATTAGAAAATATAAAGTATTTTTTGAGGAGTTGAATGTTAAAAAATATAAGATATTTTTAATCTTTTTAAGTGTAATCATTATTTTTTTTAAAAGTGTCCCTCTTGAATAAATTATTTTATATTTATCTTAAAGTAAAATGCCCTATTAAATAAAAATAAATATAAAAATATAATATTAGTTTGAAGAAAATAATTTAGATAACGACATGCACAAAATTATTTTATAATTTGTGACGCAGTACACGTTGAAATTTGAAGTTATGTAGGTTTTATTTTAAAATTTATTATTTTAAATATCATTTATAACTATAATTTTTTAAAAAAGTAATAATTAATGTCAATATTGCATGAGTAAAAATTGTTAACATAATATCTGAAAATTTTTAAAAATAAAAAATCTAAATTTACAAATTATGAATTAAAAAATATCCTTAATGAAAAACGTATTATTAGATTTTTTTTTTTAATGGTAAGAGGATATTCATAAAAAAAAAGAAAAAGAAAAACATTCCATGGATTCGGTAAAATATATATATATATATATATATAAAGATTTGATGATCATTTAAATTAAATAAACACATAGATTATGATTCCAATGATTGTTTAAATCCAACGGTAAATATTTTTAATCAACATTCAACAAACACGACTTTAACTGCTTCAGAGCACTCTCTTCTTCTTCCGATAGCCTTCATCTTCTCCCTCCATCTGCGTGATTTTCGTCCGCCTCACTTATTGAACTCAGAGCTCTTGATTTTCACCGGCGCCGTTTAGAAGATTGATGTCAAAACCTGCAGCTGTGAAGAACGTTAATGTTCGGCGCCTTCGAGGTTTGAATCTCCGCAAAACAACAAAATTAACTGGCTGTTGGATTAAACAAATGGGTATGAGAAAGCTTGCATAATTGGAATAAGTCCTGAAACTTGATTTTTAACACCCATATGTATGCTATCATAGACCGAGTCTCTCACGACACTGCAAAATCTTGAGGGAAGGAGGACGATGAAGTGTTTGGGAGATTATTTTTTATTTTTTACTTTCTAGACTTTTCTTTCCACACTGCAATATCATAAGCTAATTTACAGTGCCGCTTGATTGACAATTTCTACGGCCTAACGCACACCTTCCTGAGAATGACCTCTGGTCTGACACATTAAAAAGGAGCCACTAGAGGGGACAAAGGAAAGGGAGAGTCACTTAGAAGCAAAAGTGATTCCATGGTGTTCACATCAATCGTAGAAATGTTAGGGGGAGGATGAGCTGCATCTCAATAATTAGTGATGGTTTGTGATGGGTTTCTAAAAGCATCAAGCAAAGTGATGTTAAGCCACATGCCTACCCAACAAACTAATCCATTTCTGAGAAAAATTCTCACTTTTTTTCCTTCAATGTCCCCACAATCACACCTCGTGGTCCAGCCTCCCCTTACCTTATCACGTTCCAGCCCCCATCTATTTCAGAAACTTGGTCATGTCAACCTTTAATCACACTTCTTTTCTTCGCTTAAAGTAATTTGAAAGGCCTCTTACACTGCCCCACTGGATAGATTCCAAGAAAAAACTCAATTAAGTGATCATCAACTAACTTCCTAACTTGCCAGACCCATCTCTATTGAGCCTATATGTATCCCTCTACTCTCTGACTCTGAGCTGTGAGGTCTGTTGTTTTTCTTTTTCTGAGAACTGAAACCTTAATATATGTGACATGCCATAGTTATAATGTCTTCTGTGCAATCCAGTCCCTGCTACCCCATGGAAAACCCAGTGATGGAATCCCTGCTCCGCCACAGCCATCATAGGTCGGGGGAGAAACGTGGCCGCGGTGGCGGCAAGTTCTCCACCGGCGGGCTGTTAAAAATGTTCAAGCTCTTCCCTATGTTGACATCTGGCTGCAAAATGGTGGCACTTTTGGGAAGACCACGTAAGCCTATGATCAAGGACAATGCAACTTCAGGCACAATCTTTGGATACCGCAAAGGAAGGGTGAGCCTGGCAATACAAGAGGATCCTCACTGCTTGCCGTTCTTCTTCATAGAGCTACCAATGCACACGAGTGCTCTGAACAAGGAAATGGCGTCAGACATATTGAGAATCGCATTGGAGAGCGAGACAAAGACCCCGAAGAAGAAGCTGTTTGAGGAGTTTGTGTGGGCAGTCTATTGCAATGGGAGGAAAGTAGGGTACTCCATAAGGAGGAAGCAGATGAGTCAAGATGAGATGCACGTGATGCAGCATTTAAGAGGCGTTTCCATGGGCGCAGGGGTTATTCCAAGTCCTTCAGAGAAGGAAAGTCCAGATGGGGAATTGACATATATGAGGGCAAGATTTCAGAGGGTGGTTGGTTCTAAGGACTCTGAAACTCTGTACATGATCAACCCGGATGGTGCCCAAGGCCCAGAGTTCAGTATTTTCTTTGTTAGAGCTCACTAGGTTGTTGATTAAATAATTACAACTCCAATTCCTTAGTCTTGTCTTTTTTATAGTACGGAAATCCAGGTCAATTCGCCTGATTGAATCATGAAATCATTAAACCAGTGTTTTTGTCGGTTTAATAAAATAATTGGTTTATGATCGGTTTGATATGATTCGATTATGCTTTTGACTATTAATTTTTTAACCAGTGTTTTGACTAGTTCAATGTTGAATTTGAATTTCAGTACCTGCGTCTTTTTCAGGGTGCTGATATAGTATAATATTAATCAAAGGAATCACGCCCTCCAGTCTCTGACTCTTTTATTCCTGTTTGCATACTGCATATATACATTTGCTACTGATATTCAAGGCCAAATTCATCGTCAACAGTAGGTGGCCTTGTCTTTGTTCCTTTGCCTTCTAGTTTCAGTTTTAACTGCTGTCTGTAACCTTTCAGGTGTCCCTTGGCGGATCATGCAAAATGTCATAATATCTATATATTGATAATCTTCTTTTTTGTGTATTTGTCTGATTCTTTCAAATTTTTACCTTCCGTGCGTATTCCAGAGGATAAAACTTCTGAGTTGAGAAAACCCTGCATATAATATTATAGCAAGATTATATAACTTTTAGTTTTTGAATTTTCTTTTCATTATTAATTTAGTTAACTTTAACTTAGTGCAACTGAATATTTATAATTTATTGAGTTGATGAATTATAAAAATTGAGTTGTTACAAATTAAAAATCAGGAGCTGAGTAGATAATTAAAATCAAGTTCATGAACCAAAAATTATAATATATTTTCCCTCTCATAAAGTACATGTTTTTATTGGACTTTCAAAAGCTATGCACGCATAAATGCCGTCCCTATATAAGATGCATACTTAATTACTAGATATAAATACAGCACATTAAATTATATTAATTTTTTAAATTGTCATATACTTGTATTTGCGTCAGTTTTAATGCCTTCTATATTACCTCACGAATCTTTATAGACTCTTACGTGATTAATTAAAGAACCTACACAAAATTCCTCAAAATTACTGAAAAACAAGTACGGTTTTTGACAAAGAATTCTAAAAATTATTATGAATAACCTGCCAGTTACGTTGTTAGGAATATTTTCCGGGATCCATCCTTTACATACTTTAAAGTCATAAAAAACTGTAACAAAATTATACAATAGGAGATAACAACTTAGAAAATTCGTTGAGCCAACAAAAGAGTGGGAAAAGAAACAGTTCTGTCAGATCTCGAATGTTATCCACAGGTTAAGAAGCTCCACAGTGAGATTAGGGAACATGATAGATAGCATGAAGCGTTACTTATGTGCCTACGCCAACCTAAAGAAAACGTCACTTCATGGTTTACATCATTAGTAGAACAAACATAGAAATCTAAGTCTTACCACAACAGCAAACTAGTTAGCATTTCCCGAAGTATGAAAACAAGGATGATTGTTTATCATCCGCAGAACTCTTCACTTTTGCATTTTTCTTCACTGGACTTGCGCTTTCATGAAAAGCTGGCTTTGAATTCTTTAAAAGCCTCATAATCACGCTTGATTGATGCTTTGCCGCATCATCTTTATCATAGTTACATTCTCTGGTCTTTTTCTCATCATCTCCCTCCTCAGTTCAGGTTCCTCCTTCGTCGCTTTCGGCAGATTTTCAATTTTGACATTGTTCATGACTTGATACTCTCTGCTCTGGCTTTGAGTCTTTCCTTTCAGCTCCTTTTTTTGTGAAGAACTTAGAAATTGAAGCATTCCTTTCTGTCTTGAGTTGAATCTGAGAGAAACATGAGAACATGATAAATTGAATATTTATCCTACATGCCATCAATCAAACTTGGGACTATGTTCCTTTTATTTTTGGGGAAAAAAAAATTACACGCAACTTCCCCAACAATAACTGTGCTATGTATTATCCAAAAAAATGATAGCCTACATATAAGTAAGTCTAGCTTCTAAAGTCATGTTATTTCACATGATACATTATTCTTCTTCTCTATCATCTTTCCTGTTTTTTTACCTTGCATGACAAGTAATAAGATAACTACATGGCTTTTAGATATTAACTTGCAATATTTTCCTACTTTCTGTGATAGTTTAGGAAGATAGTGCTACGTTTTTAATATTAAAACGAGGACACATTGTGCAATCGCATGGGAATCTATAACTTTGAATCTTTAAGAAACTACAGTAAAAAAAACCGTACCTTGATTACGATATATATATATATTATATTGATTGATATCGATGATTGTCAATTGATGATAGATATAATTAAATTATGTGGAACTATAAGTCATTGTTCCTCCTCAATGCTGGGACGTTTCTAGTTTATATACTAAGGATAAGAATGATAAACTTAACTCTATCCAAATCCCTACTCACCCAACCATCTAAGCTATCGCTGTAACACACGTAAACAGATATGTGCATCAAAGTGACATTCAGAGATAATCACCCAAAAAAGGTGACGTTCAGAGATGTACAAGCAATAGCATGATACCTTGCAACTATAACATGGGTCCCACAAACATCAATGGGCAATGGCAAGATAAATAGTGCCACAAAGAAAAAGCTGGCATATTTTTTGTTTTATTTTAATCAAACGGCAAAACATTGTCATTAAAGCTTTCTGGATGACCTGTACGCACCAAAACTACTGGCCAAAACTTTCCCCCTCAGCAAATTTCTGTTTTAAAGAACAATAAAGAGCAACATCCGGTAATTCACAGCTTTCAATTTGCCATATTAAAAAAGTAAAATTTAAAACACTACAAATAAAAGCGTAGTCAATCTAATGCCAAAATGAGGTTTGGATTCAATTCTAGGTGCCTTATTTACCAAATTATATAGGTTTGGATCCAATACTACGAGCCATATTTGACATATGAAATCTAGGAGCTTTTCTCTAACTAGTAATCTTCATATCAAACAGAAGTTGACGGGCCACACCTCTTTTATGCACTCAGGCCCATCAAAAGATGGCTTGCCCATTGCAGGGGTGACGGATACACGCCTGCAGATTAAAGAATTTGGAAAACCAATAGTAGCAGCAGCAGAACAACAATAATAACAATAATAAATAATAATAAAATAATAATAATAAATAATAAATAACTAAATTTCATAGCTTTGATGTCAAAACAAAAGAAAAAACAGAGAGAAAGAAAGAGAAACATTGAAAAATCATTTATTGCCTCAATTCTCATTTCAAAAGTTCATACCAAATCATGATTCCTCATATGGCTTGAGCACTGTCTTGTAATTGGAAGAATGTTTAGCCACGTATCAGTAGAACCCTTGTCACCTAAATAACAGGTCTCTATCTACAGAGACACATTAAAAATAATTAACCTCGTAAGACTCGGTTATTAAGGCAATAAATTAGACAGCTATCCTCATTTGGTAAAAGATCTAAGAAAGGACACAAAAATTTCCTTATGACAAGGGACAAGTAAATCAATATATGTACAGGCATGAGTAACTCAGAATCATGAAAACCAAAGGATTAAGTAACATCCATTGGTTTCAAAGTACACAGGATTTTGCCTTATTGTGTCCTAATATATGCAAAACATTTTCCATTTATTTAAAAAAAAAAGTCATTTGAAGTACATGGAATTTTCCAAGAATAAGAACCCTAAACAATGCAATAAGCACAATGGAGATATACTGATGGAATCGTCCAAATTCTCAGTATAGTTTGTTGAAAGCCATAGTTCCTTCTCTATGAACAGAGGTGGATTTCTGGCAAAGGAATTACAAGAGAAAGAAGCAAAATGGAAGGTAGAAGTAAGCAA